GTGTGCGGGGGTCAGCATGGTCCATCATGCGCCGTCCATAACGAGAAAACGGAATGGAACCACCTGGTGTGGCTGAACGGTAGCTTGGAAGACCTCAGTTCGAATCCTGATCAACAAAGTAATTATGAACTGCCTGGGGCCAGTCAGTTCGATGATGATACCTCAAAGCTGTCAACCTTTTCAAAAGAGCAGGAATAAAAAAGCAGTACAGCGCAGCTTGGTTCTTACGTCCTACCCCGTGGTGCATCGCCCAGCATCGTGCTTGGCTCAAGATTCGAACTCAGGTCTGTTCTCAACAATTGCTTTTCAGCGCACAAATGTGTGCCGTTTTTTCGGCCTGGTCCTGCATGCAACGGACCAACCACCCGTTTCACAGACCAGCCATGTCAGAACCACAGTGAAAGAAAATGCCAAGAAAAAAAACGATATTATAAGATCTCCCCTGTTCCACCTATCGAAAACAGAGCCGTGCAATGCAAGAACGTACCTAACAGATCGACTGAGATCCAAGTAAAACCAGAGCACACGTTTCATCGCAAAAGCAACGGACTTGTGACCACAGTTCCCAGGATCGAAGATCGTAGGACCACGGTAGAAATGAGGAGACCGAAATCAGTGCGTAGAGAGACATCCGCAACCAAGGAACTTTGTTTTATGCACTCACAAAACAATTGTCAGTGATATACTGGAGGAAGGTGGGGACGGCGTCAAGCCCGCATGGCCCTTATGGGCAGCTGACCACAAGGCTGCACATCTGAACCAAACACCTACGTTGGTAATGCCAACAGACAATCGCACTCATCTACAGACATCTCAAGGACCATTGGCAGCAGGTAAGAGAATGACCACCAAGCCATTACGGGAGAGTAGCAACGGACATTTGGTGAAACGAGTGAGCAAATGAACAAACATGGCATCGATCAACTACATAAAACAGCCTTATAGCATTCTCACGGAGAAAATGTCACCCTTGCAGGCCCATGACTCACCTTGCAGGATGTGATCGTCCCAAACTCAGAGAAGAGTTCCCTCAACTTCTCATCGTCAATTGCATCATCCAGATTCTTCAAATACAAATTGGCACCTTGGTATTTGTCCATCCTCTCTTTCCGTTCCTGCTCGAATTTCAGTCTCAACTCTGCTTCTCTTTCGCTCTTCTTCTGGGCTCTCCCCACATACCACTCTTTCCCATCAATAGTTTTCCCGTTCAAACCGTCGACTGCCCTCGCAGCATCTTCCGAATTCTCAAAATTTACGAAGCCGAAGCACTTCGACCTCCCTTCTGCATCTCTGCAATCGATTAAGATCACGAAAACGAATCATCACTAAAATATGTCATCCAGAATTCTACGCCCAAAACAATGACATATGATCAAAAAGTATCTTCTCAGAACAGCAGAGAACAGATCTCACAACAAAGAGGTGATGCCAGCCTCCCAGATTTCCTGTAGCTAAACATCATTTTGAAGTGCATCAACAGAGCACTCAGACAGACCCACATACAGGCCCACATCTGATCATCAAACATTATGAAGAACCAGAGAAGACACTTCTACCAGGAAGACTGATCAACAGAGGGTAGGCGGGCAGTGCTACAGTTCTAGCGATTAATGGCACAGATGGCGACAACCATAAACTTGTGCCATTTTTGTGCTTGTGCCTACATCAATCAGGCATCCACAGAGTACTTATATCTCTACAGCTACTTCCACTCAATCCAGTTTGACTCAAGACACCTGGTGGCGGGAAGGCAATTGACCTGGGATCGTGGATAACTGGCCTTTCAACCACCAGCCCGTCCGAGCATCTTTTTCCCAACAAGGACTCTTTTTTGCGTACCAGATTCCGACTGAGCCACCGTGGTAATATTTGCCTGGTGACCCCAGCCTTTTCGATCCAGCAGGCTCGGCGCGCGATCTTCCATCGGCTTAACTGGCACATCGGAGCAAAATAGTTAGGACAAAGACAACAAGTTACAAGTTTAAAGATTTATGAAAAAACAGCAACGTCTACAAGACGCTCAGATAAAACATCCTCGTGAAGAAGTCTACAACAACATATGCTAGAACCTCAAGCGAAAGTGCAAGGGGCTAATCGGCAAGTCCGTCTGTCCTAAAAGCTGTCCTGTCCCTAAATTGGGACCATCTCATACTGAGAAACGTGAATGCAATGACAGATTGACTGTGTTCACCAACAGATCCACAACGTTCCACATGCTGCAGAAGTATAGTCACGAGGTCACAATTTCTGTCTAAAATCGGGACAACCATCAACTTTGCAATGTTCTCTGAAGGACCAAATACATCGCGGAAGGGCGAAGAGGCAAGCGAGTCGAGCGGAAGAATGCTTCCGCATTACCAATCCGCCTCGCGGACCCCACACTGTAGAAGGCCCCGTGTTAAGCCACCAGCACCTTATTATCCAGGTCAACTTGGCCATCGCAAATGCAACTTTCGGGTTCTTCGGATGAACTGTGCTGACCGACCGGGATGGCTGCCAGTGCCAGCCAAACAAAAACAAAAATGCCTCCATGGTGGTTCGTTTTTTCTTTGCCGGGCGGGGGGGAATCCACCTCAGCAAAAAGCGGCTTGGAGGTACCCATCGTTTAAGAAAATTACGTGTCCGGACTTGCAGGTGCGCACCCAGGGTTCAAAAAATGAAGGGGCTCGCACGCGTGAGTTCATCAGCGTTTATATTAAAGTCATTTCTGGACCTTGTGTGTTTGTAGCAATGACTCTTCTAGAGTAGTTCCCAATGTTGGCATCCAGCAACAATGAGCCCTCCATCTGACAGGCTATAAAGCGATATGCGGGGTTTGAGCATCAACATCCACAGGCTGCAAGCGCAGATGAAGGTGAACCCCCATTGTTGACAAACACATTGCGCTGGTACCATCACGTGCAGAGGAGAGAGGCCACCGGGAGGGCTTTCTTTTCCACCCGCAGCAACACAATGTTGTTGAAACATGGCAGGAGTCAAAACACAAGTACACCCACATTTTCAAATACATCGTCCAATCTGTCAGAGATTACAGAGAAGATTAGCATGGTGTCTGCACAAGGATTACAGGCATAAAGAAAGAAAGGGTGCACCCAAAAAACGAGAAATGGTACATCCCCCACAGGGCCTGAGGACTGTATTTTAGCGGACCCTCTGCCGGACCGCCGAGAACTTTGCAAAAATGTGAAAATTCAAAATTGCCAGTTTTCCCATTTCTCCCAACAGTGGGCGAGGTAGTGATGGTTTAGAAACGATGCATCCAACTGCTATGATTTCGGGGAAGGCTGTGACCCAGGCTGTTGTCGCAGTAGTACTTTCGAGAATGCATCCCGCCACTACTTTGGCTAGTAGGAAATGTTATGACTTGCGTTTTGTTTTTTTTCTTTCCTTTTCTTTGGAGTGCCCGGCCAGCGAGGCAGGGCAGGGCGCATTCGACGGACTGCTTTGACACCCTCATGGAGGGCATCCTCACACTGCTACTTCTGGTAATGTATCCAACCGCTTTCACGTCCACAGCGCAGTTTCAAATGTTTTTCTTCTTCCTCCTCTCCCGTGAATCTAGCCAGCATACTCACACGAGTACTTCTGAGAATGTATCCAACTGCTATCGAGTCCAAGGCTTTTCTTTTTGGTTATTTTTTGCAACTGCCGTGACGAAATCGGTTTTCTTGAGACTACCAGAAAAGAAAATACTTCTGGGACCCAGGCTCGGAGGTACTGCGGCAAAACTCAGCCACACAGCAAAATTCAGGTTCCGCAAAAACAGGCTCGGAGGTACTGCTGGTTTAAAGGCACAGGATGTCAAGAAGTCTGTCATTCCTGAATGACACACTTCTTGACATCCTGTGGGGAGAAGAGAAAGCCTTCCGAGAAACGACAACGATCGAACAAACAACAATCCAACTGAGGACGACAATCCCAAAAACAACAATACAACTGAGTGCGGACAACAAATCCTGCGCAACAGCAACATTTCACATTTCAATACATAACACGTAAGGGAAAACATGGAACAAATCGGGATCAATCAATCCAACAAGCTGTTGAGCAGTTGAGCAGTTGAGCAGTTGAGCAGTTGAGCAAACAGCATTTTTCTTGAACAATCCTACACGCTCGGCATCAATCAATCCAACAAGCTGTGGGAAGGAGACGAGACATACCTCATAACAACTGCGCTAGTTATCGGACCATAAACACCGAATGTTTTCCTGAGCTCCTCATCAGTCACACTCTCTGCCAAGTTCTTCACATAGACATTATTGAACTTCGTAGCACTGCTAGCCTGATCCCGCTCCTGCCGTCTAACAAAGGGCCCCACGTATACTTGCTTGTCTGCCATGAGCATCCCATTCACTCTATCAATAGCCATTTGTGCAGCGTCATCCTGTTCAAACTGCACGAAACCGTAACCTTTTGACTGGCCCGACGAATCTGTTGCGACTTTGCACGAAAGGATGCTGCCAAAAGCTGAAAATGTGTCATGCAGTGCCTTGTTGTCAATGGACTTGTCCAAGTTCTGTTCCAATGCCACATCACAAGGTTGACACCAGAAAAGAGAACATGCAAAATCACAGATACCTCAGAAGGCTGGTTGGACTCAAATACTACAAAGATATTTCGAAGATGGAAGTTTGAAAACAGAGAAAGAGAACACGCGAAATCACACATAACCTCAGTGGACTGGTCGGGTACAAAATTTGAATCGTACAGAGAAATTTGCAAGACATTTCTTTTGCAAATGGACTTGCACAAGACAATTAACAAAATATACAGTGCTTGGCGGACAGGGAGACCAAAAAAAGAAGGAAAACATCGGGCAATATCTGGATAGCATAAGCACAACATCACAGCTGATGAAGAGAGAGAGTCTTCGTCCCTCCTCACCCCTTCACCAACTGCCCTCTGCCTACTCGCCCACGAGAACCAGCAAACGACTATCAGCTATAGGCATGCACACATCACAGCCGATGGGGAGTACTCCCTCTGTGCTCTACCATTCCACTCCGCTCTGCCTACTCACCCATGATAAACCAACAGACTACTATCAGAGAACACTTCTTCGTGTGTTGTACACCGGCCTGCGCACAGGGCAGTTCTCATCGCTCATCCCAATACTCGCCCCTTGGCACATGCACGCACACGTCTGCTCCACTCACCGTCACGCCACTACCGTCTTCACCCGAATAGAACGCCCGGTCATTTTCGCTGTATCTAGACTGAAAGTCGCCTCAAATGACCAGGTGTTCTATTCGGGTGAAGACACTAGTGCACATGCCAAAGGGATGGAAAAACTGAGATAGCATCCCCGAGTCATGTTCATCAATTTATTTATTTTTTTTGGGGGGGGGGGATGTTCATCAAATTTCTACGATTGTTTTCCCTTTGTTTTAAAAATTCCACCATTCTTATTCCCTGTTGAGTAGTTGGCATGCCCCATATACTGAGCACAGTGCGCTTCACATATAGCACACACCACACACCCGAAGGTGTGCTATGATCCCGGCAAGCACGAGTCTGCTGTTATTGCAGAATCTGACCAAGTCCTCCACGCCTGATTTTCATTGCCTTCCAGAAAAGGGGCGTAATATTCCTATCACAAGCCAATCATGCCAGACTTTCCACTATCACAGAAACTGCCAAGCACAGAGAACAGGAGGGAATGACACCTACAGGTAATTGAGAACAGAAAATCACATGGAAGGACTACAGAAGGCAGGAGTGAAAGAAGGCAAACAGCAGGCAAGAGAGAGAGCAGGCAAACAGAATAAGAGGGCAAAAGACAGACACACAGCACAGGTGACGAGCGGAAAAAGGGATTTGAACCCTCAACCTTAGCCTTGGCAAGTAAATGTCTATTTGTTACTTTGCAAAGACCAAGCAAGGGCAAAGAGCTAGGTACAGGAGGATGGCATCTTCCATAGCTTTGAAAAGACCTGGAAAACCTCGAACCGAACAGGGAGGGTGCATTACACCTTGCAGACAGAAGGGAATTTTGAGGGTAACCTATTCTGGATAGTTCACATCTTACATCTACACCAGGGATTTCTGTCCATACCATGGAATCAAGTTGCAAATACTCGAGACCCCTCCATAATCAAGCACATCCCTAGGCCCCACTGGCCTGGGCACGCCACCCCTCCTAAATTCATCCCACCACTAGAAATATGCATGTATTGTGGATGACAAGTCACCAGTGCGCCAACCCCACGAATTTCGCCGACATATGGCTGACATATGCAGAGACCAGGCGCAGGGGTATAAAGTCACTCCAACGCAAGACAGCCATTCCATTACCATAACAATCGACAAGACTGTATGCCCACCGCGGCTCCTCGTCGCGACACAGACTAGGGGCCCTGGAGTTTGCACAGCCAGTCTTTGATCACGCAGCAGCCCACAGCTCAGACAACCCAGTCCCCAGCAGGCAATGCAAGCACAAGTAAATCTTAATGAACATATCCTGAGTTGGAATCCTGATGGAACCGATACAATGAAGTTAGGAACTACCCTCCCCTCTTTTCGAAAAAAAAGAAAGGTCACAAGCCAAAGGGCATCACCCAATGGATAGACACTAGACCGAGAACAGGATCATGTTCAACCCGTGCAACCGTTTCCATACCTTGATGAATATGTTTGTTGTGCCACTCTTGCGAAGACTTGAGGTCGAATCCTGATGGAATGGACACAATAAGGTTAGGGGCTACCCCCTTCAGAAAAGGGAAAAGGATGCAAGACAAAAGGGCGTTATTCAGCACATCTACGCAAGATCAAAAACAGGATAATCTTCCAACCCCTGCAACCGTTTCCGTACCTTAATGAATATGTTCGCCGTTCCACTCTTGCGAAGACTTGGATCCCGGTGTGAGTACATTATCCTTACGGCCTTGCCGTTTATCAGGGTGAAGTTGAGCATCTCTAGGGCCCGGCTTGCTGTTCCACCATCAGCACAAGATCGATCCCACAGCAAACGACCACAGCAAGAAACATTCAAACTCAAACCATCAGGCCCAAACTACACATTCACTCCAAAGGCCAACGAGCGTGTATCATCGACAAAAACCAAGTCGCGAATCAACTAACCAAAACCGACCGCAAGTACTGTTCATCATGTAAACATTCCGCATGTTAGCAGCTCTCATATTCAAAAAAAAAAAAAAAAAAAGTCTTTTTCGTTCGGGAAGCTTTCATGATTGCTGTGTTTTTCATGATCGACCACCAGGGCGTCATGGACATCAGCATCAGCACAACAGGAGAGCATTGCCTGTCTTGTACAACACTCCGCTCATCTGGGATCCCGCACACCAGCAGGTTCTCAGAACTAAGGCAACGATAGGGAGACTCCAAAGCAGCAAAAATAAGGTGGTTGATTCTGCAGCTCATTCTACACACCAGCAAGTGCTCCAAATTGAGGTAACAGCAAGGAAACTACACGGCAAGCGAAAGGCAAATATACCCCAATCTGCTTGTTCACCTACCAGCCAACCAACTCTGCCTTCTGGGCAGTGCAATCGCACCTCTAGCAGATGATTCATCTGAGACCATTGGACGCTACAAGCTTATCCAGTAGCATTTCCCAAAACCTACTAATCGATCCCTGCTTCACTGATTGCTCACAACCCTGCCAACCCTGCAAGACACTTACCCACCCCCGATCCACCAATCAGCACTTGTTTTCTTTTCTAATCGCCACGCACTTTTACTTCACTAATTACTAAGCACTTGTGCTTTACTGATTGCCCCGCCATGCAATGCTCGTTACCCTAACAGTCTGTCAACTCTCGCTTCACGAGTTCACCGATCCCTTCATTACTTGGTCAAAAATCACTGGCCTACCTGATCACTCACACTTACACATTGCGCAGTCGTGAGTCACTATCTCAAAAAGACTTTACCTCAGTGGCCTCAGCAATCACCCACCTACTCTGCAAACAATTTACATAATTATTATAGCACACTTGACCCAGTATAACTGGGGTCACCAAGCCCCCGTCCACGTTCCAAATTGGATCATTCCTTGATCAAGCGAATCACCATTACTCTAGTGGCTCCTGATTTCCTTGCCAGCATACCGATAGAGGTCTCATGCAGGATTGGTGAAGACCGGGCTCACATCCGGTCACAGGGCAGGCATGGGGCCAATGCAGGTCTGTGGATTTCAGAGGTAAAGGTTCTGGGATACTAGCAGCTCGCTGCTGATTTTCTAGTCGAAAGGCACTAATTAAATATACTTGTGACGAATGGCTTCAGGAAGTCTTCGCCATGTCCATCTTGCCTGTGTGTAGTCTTACCTCATTGATAGGAAGACAGGCAAGTAGGGGAGTCTTCCGTTGTTGACAGAAAGACAGGCAAGTCGGGAAGTCTACACACACGATAAGCGCGCAGATAGGTCACAAACACGCTCAAAAGAATCAGGCAAACAAGGCAGTTCAGGGAGGTGACAAAGCAAGTGAACACTGAGGGCAGGCACAAAGACACAAATAGGTAAGGGCCCACGGGCAGTGGCGCTATGTTTCCACTTCAAAGCGCATGAATTCGGTAAGGGCCAAATTTGAGCTCTCTCACCAAGAGCACAGCACATATTGCCACTTCAAAGGCATGAATCCGGTCAAAGGGTGGGCCAGGTTCGTCTTTTCAAAGCAAAAGCATAGCATCGAGGGGGCATGTCCCCAATATCAAAACGCAATCCGTGAACTGGCAAATGAAGGCATGGGTAGATAGCAAAAGCGGCGAGGTGGGAAAGAGAGCGCACTACAGACTCCTAGCCAGATTGTGTAGAGAGACACCTGTGCACACTCCATAGACAAGAAACAACAACCAGCTCCAAACACACGTGGCAGGAGGGTAGATAAACAAAATGTTGCGCAAGAGAAGGACACCAGAAGAGAGGAAAGCCGATTCAGCCAAAGAGGGTCCTCATCAGCAGGCTACCACATAAAGGTCCAGGCTCAATGTACCATCCAAGAGAACGGGATCACAACCCTACCCAAGAAAAAACATGTTACACCCATCCCTTGTCGACCAATCAGAAGAAAAAAACTATTGACTGAAAAGGTTTCTGTTCTTTTTTTCTAGTTTGCATTACATGGCAAAGTAGTTATGGATCCATACTTTCTGGCTTCAAGCCCATTCGTGCGCGCACGAATCGAACCGGCACCCTTGACCACAGAGGCCACTACAGTCAGGACAAGGTGTTTAAAAAGCGGAACCATCCTGCAACCGCGGTAATACCCCCCCCGCCCGACACCACTCCACCCCACACCACCCCAACCCCAAACCACAACGGGAGATATGCATCTGCAGGACCTCAATGATGTGCAGGCTTGTATGCATAAACTCCAACTCCAACACCATGGATGAGATCAGATATCAAACTACATCAGATCCGGAATAAGACTATGTATAACATAACACAGGGCCTCACTCCACTGCACAACATTGTAAATGTATCTGAAGCTGGTAATGGTCCCAATACATTCAAAATGTTCGATCAGCCCAAATGAATCGAGTCAAACTTCGTAGTCCAGATACATGTTGAATATCAAATAGCGAGCGAGGCCCAAAGGGTGCAGGCCTGGTAAACGAGCAGGCACACGATCAGAAATGGAGATGGACACAAATCAAAACAAAGAAAAGGGAGATTCAAGACATTGGGCCTCTCGCTCCACCACATACCATCCTACATGTACCTGGTGCTGGTATTGGTCCCAGTACATGCAAGATGTTCGATCAGTCCGAATGCATCTGGTCCAGACAATGTCGAATATTGCTCAGTGGAGCGAGGCCCTGTATCAGCCATCATCAGAACTGCATTACCGGGCACATCAGCCGTGATATGGAACTCCAGTAGGGAAAGAAAGAAACTACGAAGGTCGGAGGGGAGAGAGAGAGAGAGAGAGAGAGAGAGAGAGAGAGAGAGAGAGAGAAATTGCAGCGACAGGGGAGGGAAGGAGGGGGGAGGACACAGAGAGAGAGAGATTGTCAATGGAGCGTGCAGGATAGGGTTAATTTCCCATTTTTATTTATTTTTTCCCAGCAGCGAAATTCCCTGCATCTGTGGAAACAACAGCCAATCACTTTGCCCATCTGAACATCTACATCTTTCGGAAAATAACACGCATCTGGCTATTTATCAGGGTAGGTTCTGACACGAGGTGAGAATCAAAGGCGGTTGGTTCAGCCTCCTCATGAGTCGGTAGGTGAAACTCCGACGAAACACTTTGTCACAGCCCCTCGCTTGTTGTTGTTCTCCTCTCCCTCTGCAAACAGTTTACAAGGCAGTTCTGTTTGACGATATATCATCATCATCGCTTCCATTGCACTAGGGCGCCGCAGCACACAAAACATCTCCCTACTACAGGGGCAACCATTTTCGTATCTGACCGGAAAATTTAGCTGTGCACATCTTCATAATGGCATTCATCCTTGGGAGAAATGGGTTGTCAACGAGAGCAATTCATCCACCACGGTCGAGATCAAGCGGCACCCCGTATGCAGATAAGGCCACACCCTCTGCAGATAAGGCACCCCCTATCCAGATAACCCCGTGTGCAGATAAGGCACCCCCTATCCAGATAACCGCGTGTGCAGATAAGGCACCCCCTATCCAGATAATCCCGCGTGCAGGTAAGGCACCCCCTGTATAGATTAAGGGCGTAATAACTAATAAACGTGGGCATCCCTGAAGTCATCTGACCGCAACAAGGACTACATTCTGTCAAAAAGTCCTGGCAGTAAGCGCGTCAAACAGAGCTGCCCGGTAGACCGTGGGCAGAGAGGGAGAGGAGGTATATATATATAAATACACACGCATATAACTATATATCGTCATAGAGAACTGCCCGATGAGCCGGGGGGGCAGAGAGGGAGAAAAGGACAACGAGGGGCTGTGCCTGACTATCGTCGGATTCTATGTATACATACTATAGACACATTCTGACGATTTATGTTATCTATATAGGAATGTGATAAGCACCTAAATATGGTGAGTGGTATCTTTCCACCTTCTCAGTGCAGATGCATTCGCCATTATTATACACATTCAATGAGTAATGCAGCGAGAAATACCCTTAAGGTTGACCGCAATCGATAACGATATTATTATGTAAGAAAGGGAAAGCTGCTGCTAATGAATTCCCCTACCTAATACAAAAAAAATTGAAAAAATCGATAGTCCTGTAAGCATCCAGCCTAATCCAACTGAAGATACCAATAACTACTAGTAATATTACGACCTCTGGCCTGAGGAGGTGAGGAGGTACACACCCAAGAATTCATCAAAACGCTTTTTTTTTTGTTTTAAGCAACAGAAGACGCAAGAAACTAATTGTCCGAAAGATGACGGGGAAGAAAGAAAAAAAATAGCAGGTTAAATAAAACTACACGGAAGAAACGTAAGGAGGGGAAACCGACAAAAAAAAAAAAGACAAAAAAAACGAAAAGACGACCAGTGATCGCCGCATCCGCAAAAACCCCTAGACCATCAACCGTCCGATTTCCAAATCAGCCACAGACAGTTATTCGCAGAGTTGACATTTATTAGTTTTAATTCTCACTGTGACGCACTGTGACGCACTGTGACTGTGACGCTGAGGGCAAGTGTCCGCCAACGCCGCGAAATGAGCCAAGGAGAATCCTTCGCCGCGAATGTCAAGGGGAAGAGAGAGAGAGATTTCCGACCTACCGTCTTCACCCAACGAATAGAACCGCCCGGTCATTATAGCTGTGCATCCAGTCTGAAAGTCACCCCATATACGGCTATAATGACCGGGCGAAGGAAGCGAGCAGTTGTCGGGGTAGCCGCCGGTGGCTGGGAGCGGGAGGGAAGGGGAGGGAGGGGGAGGGAAGGGTGAGGGAGGGGGATAAGAGGAGTGGGAAGGAGACTTCACGTTCATTTTTGTTTCACTTACAGTATATAATTTGTTTCACTTTATATAGTTTGTTTCACTTACAGTATATAGTCTTTAAAACAACAGTGAAATGATAATTCCAGAACCCCAAGCAAACAAACCAAAAACGAAAAGAGAACCCGAAACAAGACTACAACGCGAAAAAAAAAAAAAGCCACGAAATTTTGGTAACAATTCGTACACCAAAACGGCGGGAAATGGAATTATGGTAACAATTCGTAGACCAAAAAATGCGGGAGAATGACAGTCAGCCACACGAATCTTATTGAGAGCAGAGCGGAAAAAAATATGACATGACTTGATGAACCATCATAAATTCATAAATGAAAAGCCAGGGAATTTCAGTGATTCCTAGACCAAAAAGAGGGGCCGACTCGAGGAAGCAAACCCAGTTAAGTATATACCAAAGGAGTGCAGATCGCGAAAGGTTGGTCGACCATAAACCCACCGATGAACCCTACACTCTTCAGCCGAATAGAACGCCCGGTCATCATCATAGCTGTGTACTTGCGGCAACTTTGAGTCCAGATGCAGCGATCATAACCGGGCATTCTATTCGGGTAAAGACGGTACGGTACGTTTGGAGGATAGCTCCACCAAAACGTGCATGAGAAGTTTTTTATGTACAGAGTTTGCAGCCTTCTTCCACGTGATGGCAACGCCCGGTCATCATCATAGCTGTGTACTTGCGGCAACTTCGAGTCCAGATGCAGCGATCATAACCGGGCGTTCTATTCGGGTAAAGACGGTACGGTACGTTTGGAGGATAGCTCCACCAAAACATGCATGAGAAGTTTTTTAAGTACAGATGGCAAATCCAGACTCAAATTTACACGTCGTCCGATGCGCAATCATCATCTTTATCAGGTCATCTCATTCTTGCCTCCGAGGAAATCGTCATCAGGGTCCCCCTTGAGACCCAAAGACAGACCAAACCTAGAGAAAATCATGTATGGACAAGAAAATATGCCAAGGAATTTTCATGAAAACATTATGTCAGACAAAAACGATTTGATGGAGTCATTTATGTCGGACAAAAACGACTTCATGGAGTCGTATAAATTGGAGATCACATTCCCCAATTCATATATAAACACACACACACACACACACACACACACACACACACACATTTTTTGTTATATATATCGTCACACAAATATATAACATACCGTCATATATATCATCACATAAATATGAGAGCGCAAAAGCGAAAAAAAGGGAAAAAAATGAATTCATTCTTTTACATAACGATATAAACATATATATAACGATATATACATATATCTACAGTCTCATATACATATATCCTGTGATTCTGCCTAAAGTTGATTTGGCAGTTGTCTGTGACAGCAAATACTGTGCATAGATATTGGAAGACATATGTCCTCTTTTACCTCCCCTCCCATAACCGCCGTGCGAGTTGGTGACTGACAAAGGAGCCGCCGATGCACCACAGGCGACAAAGATCACTTCTCAGCTTAGAGAGAAGGAATTTGAACCTACCTTCAACTCGCCATCTGCTAGCTATTTTTTTATCACCACCCACAAAAAGAGAGGATAGGTCGTTCAATCAATATTCAGGATCACCAACTCAGTAATTCAATTAACCACCCGGTAATCAAAATGAACTATTACTGTCCATTAAGGAATCAAAAAAAAAAAAAAAACACGTTCAATCAACAACAGATCCCATCAAAATTCGTCGTCGTAATCAATAGTCCATCTCTCTGAAAACCATAGTCAACGTCATTATGCACATTAGACCTTGCTACTGAATGAACGAATCCACCGCTCTCGACGAGGGTAAGGCTTATGCTCCACAGAGCTCACTTCAGGAAATTCTCAAAGGTTAGCGCGCCACAGACCTAGTTTAAGACTACTTTCAACTCGAGAAAATTGAGTACCCCAAATTCTCCAGAAGAAAATTGAGTACCCCAAATTCTCCAGAAATGATTGCTAAGGCTCCATAGGGAATCGCCCACTCTCTAAATACTCATCCCACGAATTATTGTTCCTCTTCGGAAAGTCTAGCTCAGTCAGAGTGCTGTCATCTCGTCAGGAGCGCCCCGGTATCCCGGTGGCCCCGTTCGGCCACTACTGATTGCACCGCAAAGGAGCTAATGGGAAAAGAAAGTAGGGATGGAAGGGTGTTCGCGGAGAGAGTTAGGTTAAGGGAAAAAAGAGAAGTTTCAGGAGCCGATCGCGCTTAACTTGAGACGTTCTCCTTCAGAAGAACCGCCCCACAGGATGGCACTCCAAACAAAACCTTTTGCCTGTGGAGACCCGATTAGCTTCGTGGAAAATGCCCAATGGCTGTCAAGCACAAACCTGAATCTCTCTCCATTTCTCAAAATTTAATGGTCAACGTCCCAGAACTCTTCGCCGCTCCCGCAGTCGCAGATCACAGGTAATCAAAATCAAACAAGCGATCGTCCCATTCATTTTGAACCCTGTCTTCACAGACTGCCCTCCAAGTAACCAGAGACCCCTCTGAAGGATTCCCATAATCACACAGGTATTCCTCCCCCTAATCACATTATCATAATTTCCTCTCTCAGCACAACCTCACCAAAACTTCCCCC